CTTGGATAGGAAATTTTGATACATCCACCGTATAGTCCTGACCTTGCATCATCGAATTACTATTTGTTTCGGGCTTTACAAAACTTTTTGAATGGTAAAACTTTCAATAATGATGTCAAGTCGCGCTTAGTTCAGTTTTTTACCGATAAAAATCGAAAATTTTATGAACGTCGAATTATGATGCTGCTTGAAAAATGGCAAGAGGTTATTGATAAAAATGGACAATACATTATTAAATAAAATTATCTTATTCCATGAAAAAATTGTCCTTTGTTTTGTTAAAAAAACCGCAGTTACTTAGTTGCCAACCCAATACTTATTCTTGTAAAGATTTATGTAATAAAAATAATAAAATTACATTATACTCTTATTATGTTAGCCACTCTCCATTACACACATTTTAAAATATCAAAATATATTTTAATATCAAAATAATAAGAAAAACATTTACATATTGATATTAATATTGCTGCGATTTTATCATTTTATGATTACAAACGATGTCATGTTTCTGTTGTGTTCTTATTAATCTTACAATTAGTAATTTTTTGATATGGTAACTCATGTTCAATTTTTATCACATTTTTACCGTCACGTTGTGCTTGTAAATGAGTTCGATTTCTGATATTTTATTGATGTCAGATGATATCATGTATGTTCAATTTTAATTTAATTTTTGTTGACGTATTGTGCTAACAAAATGCTTAAAATTTGTTTATACCACGAACTTGTGCTTAAATTTTATAGCACTTTTTTTAATACATTATGACACAAAAATTGCTTATTTTCTGTTGCATTTCTGTAAGCACTAACTGAAATGGTAGGTCATATAAAAGTGTTGTTTGAGTTTTATCCACATAATATGGCGCATAATTTGCAATACATAATTTTTGATAGGCTTAATGCTTTGGGAGTATAATAAACTTGCACAAGATTAGTTATACTATAAAGTTATATAAATCATTCATTTTGGCTGCTCTGTCAATGTGTCGATTTGTCAAATGACATAACACGACTTTTTCTAAAAGGAATAACACATCATATAAGATAGAATTGTTGTATAGCAACAGAAAGAGAACGCAATGTAATAGCATCAATAAATTGATATATGATCGATGATTGTGTGCGCAATATACAGGGTGGGGAAAAAGTATGGAAGCAAACAATTATTTCCGAAACTATTCATTTTTCGACAAAATGTCTTAGACATAATTTTTATGGTATGAAAAGATGTATTATGTGGCATAGACGGCATGACCTTGAAATGACCCTTACGAGCTGCATACAAATAACGTAAAAAATTTCAAATGGAACTCGTCAGTTTTTGTTACAGATTCTTGTAGCTGATGTCGAAACGTTTACAAAACACTGTATATGAGCCCCATTCCCTTAAAAACACTCCCAGTTACGAAACAATTGTGATAATTCGTATTTCCTACTTTTGGCTTATCCTTTACGGAACCTGTTTCATTAAATCGTTGAATTGTCTTAGCAACGGTAGATCTTACTATGCCCGGTTGTCCGATTCGAAAAGTTTCATTAAACAAAACTGTAACTTCATCGTGAGTTCTTTCATTCTCACCCCAACCACGCATCATCAACAGCGATATTCGCTCTCGTTCTGTTAATCGGGAAAATAACATTTGAAATTACAGAAATGAAAATCAGTAACAATTCCTATAATAGAAAACGACAAAAATAGCAAATTTTCAAAACACAATATCCGAAACTTGTATGCCAATTGACACTACTTTTTTAAGGATAAAATAAATGATAATAATAAATAAGGTAGCGATGATCAAGAAACCAAAAAAATCTATGAATACTCATAGACAGTGTATCATATAACAACAGGTACAATTACATGTTATTAGTGGACGCAACTGAACATCATGATGTGAAATCAGTAAGCAATGTCAATGTGCATACAAATTGTTTGTATCACAATTGTTTCGTAACTGGGAGTGTTTTTAAGGGAATGGGGCTCATATGCAGTGTTTTGTAAACGTTTCGACATCAGCTACAAGAATCTGTAACAAAAACTGACGAGTTCCATTTGAAATTTTTTACGTTATTTGTATGCAGCTCGTAAGGGTCATTTCAAGGTCATGCCGTCTATGTCACATAATACATCTTTTCATACCATAAAAATTATGTCTAAGACATTTTGTCGAAAAATGAATAGTTTCGGAAATAATTGTTTGCTTCCATACTTTTTCCCCACCCTGTATAATAGAATGCTTGTCAGTAAGGAATATAGTTCATCACAAAGATAGAGGACGTATCCCGGAGGTAATGCATTTTATAGTGGACATATCTACGACATTCCACTGCAGTTCAATCCGATTCATCGGACGATCCCATCTCTAGTATTCAGTTAAACGATATTGTGTTATTATACTACGACGTCTCGTTCTCAATGATTACATGTAGTAGCGCCAGCTATGCCCAAGTCCACAACGTTTAGAGAACTAAAAATTCGAATTTCCTGCTTTCAGCGCCACTCCTTTGAGTGTAGCGGTTACCTACTTCATTGTTGTTCGTTGTGCCCAACGAAACACACGTAAAGTACTAACGGGCAATATTTATTGAAAATAAAGAGTTGCTCGGATTAAAAATGGGAAAAGATAAGAAGAGAAAACGGTCTCGATCAATTTCGAGATCTCGTTCGAGATCCCGTGATCAAAAGCGAAGTAGATCTGACGAGAAATACAAGAAAATGCAATCTCAACTAAATAACCTCACTTCTTTCATCAACGGTCTGTTAGCCCAAAAGGACAAAGGAAGCAACAGCGATACAATTTCCACAGGTAAAAAATTTACTTTTTCCATACGAAAAGTAAAGGCATTTTCCAAACGAAATTTGCCGACCCAACAAGGGTATTAACTGCCAAAAAATTTACTTTTTCCACACGAAAAGTAAAGGCATTTTCCAAACGAAATTTACCGACCCAACAAGGGTATTAACTGCCAAAAAATTTACTTTTTCCACACGAAAAGTAAAGGCATTTTCCAAACGAAATTATGGCAGACCCAATAAGGGTATTTCTAGAAAACATGTTCAAATAACTCCACAAAAAAAAAATCATACCTGAATGTGGTAAGTATGAGGTTATTTTCGGTTAGAGATGCCACTTCCAATAAGGAAAATGTTCCACCCATTGTGGGACAAGAACTCGTGATAGATACCCAAGATGGCGGTCGTAAGACGACTCAAATTTGACGCCAACGTCTGAACAAGACGATCCTGAACACGATGGGTTAGTAGATATTCTCAACTTGTTGGGAGAGGATCCCACTGCTTCTAAAGAGAACGCAGTTAAGCTACATCCAGAAGTTGTTAACCGTTGGAAAGAGATTATGAAATTCGGCTTGCCAGAGGAGGCTAAAAAAGTTTTGCTAAAAAAATTTCCTCGAACAGGGGAATTGTACACTCAAGCTCCAAAAATCAACGTAGAAATCATACCAGCAATGACTAAAATTTCGAAGAAAAGAGATCAACATTTTACCGATACACAGGAATGTGTAGGTACAGCTATTACATCACTGGCGGCTGCAGTGTCACTTTTACTCGAGGATCCAGAAGAAGGTGTGGATCAAATAAAATTGATTGAATATTTAAGTGACACAGGGAAACTGTTGATCGACGTTTTTCGACAGCATTCAAAAGCCAGAGCGTCCTTCATTACTCCCATAATGAAGAAAAGTGTTAAGCCACTAGTGGACTCTCTGTCTCCAGGTGAATGGCTTTTCGGTGATAAGTTGGCTGATCAGATCAAGGAGGTAAAGACAGTTGAGAGTGCCTGCAACAGTCTTAAGGCGGTTCATAAAGTTACCAAAAAACCCCTCCAACGCTCACAGGAAAACTGGAGAGGCCCGTCTGCCCAGTACCGGCAGACGGGCGGCTACTACAAGAAACCCTTCCTCCGATTCAAGTCGAGGACACAATATCGACCGAATCAGACCAGTCGGGAGAAGAGCAAACCATCGAAGGAGTTCAGCAAGAAGTAGAGGAGGTAAGACAAATAGGAGGTAGATTGAGATTTTTTCATGAGGAATGGAGAAAAATAACGACAGATAGTTATGTTTTAAATGCCGTAGAGGGTTACTCTATACAATTCGAAAAGAGTCCTTATCAAAATAAACCTCCTGAGCGGCAATCTTGGAGTGAGGAGGAATCAGCTCAATTAGAGTTAGAAATTAAAAATTTATTACTCAAAAATTCAATTGAGGAATGCGAGCCATGTGAAGGACAATTCTTGTCTTCAATTTTTTTGGTACCAAAGCTAGATGGCGCCTATCGATTTATACTAAACTTGAAAAAGTTAAATAAGTTTATTGACGCACCCCATTTTAAAATGGAGGACATCCGATCAGTAAAAAATTTGCTAATTCCGGAGGCTTTCATGACAACAGTCGATCTCAAGGATGCTTATTTAACGGTTCCAGTCTCTGAAGACAGCAGAAAATATCTCCGTTTTGTTTTTAAAAATAAGCTATATCAATTTAGGTGTCTTCCATTTGGCTTAAGTTTAAGCCCATATGTTTTCACGAAGATTATGAAACCTGTAGTAAGGATTTTAAGAGAGAGGGGTATTCTAATGATAATTTATTTGGATGATATGTTTTTTACTGCCAAAAGAGTCAAAAATTGTAAATATAGCATATTGGAAGCTAGAGAGTTATTAGAAAAACTTGGCTTTGTGATAAATGAGGAAAAAAGTTCACTAATTCCTTCAAAAAAGTGTAAATTTCTGGGTTTTACAATTAATTCGATTAATTACACTATTGAGTTGACTGATAAAAAGAAAATCCAAATAAATAAGTTACTAAAAGAGTTTACTGTAGGGAAATCTTGTAAAATTAGAGAATACGCTCAGTTACTAGGAGTTCTGAATGCTGCGTGCCCAGCAGTGGCCTACGGTCTTGTCCACTCTAAAAGATTAGAAAGAGCAAAATTCCTGGTGTTACTAATAAATGACGATAACTATGAGGCAAAAATGTTGATTAAAGACAACTTAAAAGAGGATCTCGATTGGTGGAAAATTCACAGTCAAATTGGTATCAACCCAATTCGAAAGTCGAATTTTGTAGCTGAGATTTTCTCTGATGCCTCTTTGACGGGCTGGGGTGCATATTCTAATGATCAATCGGCTAGTGATTTTTGGAATCAAGGGGAAAAAAAGCGACACATAAATTATTTAGAGTTGTTAGCGGCCTTCATTGCTCTCAAATCATTTGCTCATAATTTACGAAATTGCGAGGTTCTACTGAGACTGGATAACACGACTGCTATTGCGTATGTAAATAAAACCGGCGGTGTTCAGTTCCCGATACTGAGTGAATTGGCCCGAAAAATATGGCTGTGGTGTGAGGAACGAGGTATTTGGATATACGCGACGTATATCGCTTCGAAGGATAATATCCATGCAGACACAGCATCTAGGATCACAAACATGGACACAGAGTGGGAACTCTTTGATAAAGCATTCCAAAAAATCCATAATAAATTTGGTCCATTTAGCATCGATTTATTTGCCACTTTCGAGAACAGGAAAGTTGACAAATTTTGCGCAAGATATCCAAACCCAGAGGTTTTTAAAGTAGATGCCTTTACTATACCATGGCAAAGAGAGAAACCTTACGCATTCCCCCCTTTTGCACTCATTTTGCCAACACTAAAAAAATTCATTGCAGATGAAGTGGAAGGTGTAGTTGTAGTACCTTATTGGTCATCTCAGCCGTGGTACCCCCTATTCAAATTGCTGCTCAGAAGTTCGCCGATAATTTTTAAGCCAAATAAAAACCTATTAAATTCTCCTTGTAGGTCCAAAACGCACCCTCTAGCGAGAACACTTTCATTGGTGGCCGGGAGATTATCAGGAAAGCATTTCTAAATAAAGGACTCACTGAGGCAGCAGCTGAGTTGATGGTGAACTCAGTATCTTCATCAACCTTGAAACAGTATGAATGTTCCCTGAAACAGTGGTATTCTTTCACAAAGGAAAAGGGCCACGATATGTTCAACACGAACACCTCGATAATAATTGAGTTTCTCACTAAACGGTTCCAAGAGGGTGCGAAGTATGGAACTCTAAACTCCGATAAGTCAGCAATAGCACTTATCACAGCACAGCAGTTTTCAAGTGACAAGTTGATCTCGCGTTTCATGCGCGGTGTTTTCAAAAAACGCCCTACAAAACCAAAATACGAGACAACATGGAATGTTGATAAGGTTCTGGATTTCATACAAGAGCTTCCAAACAATGATTCATTGCAATTGAAGGAATTAGCAGGAAAAACAGCTACCCTGCTTGTCCTCACCACTGCACATCGCTTACAAACAATGGCTGTAATTGATATTGATAATATTATCTTCACAGAGTCACAAATTGAAATTAGAATCCCATCTTTAATTAAAACTTCAAAACCTGGAAATTTTCAGCCCAACATGGTGTTACCTTTTTTGAAAGATAATGAGCGTTTATGTGTAGCCAAGTCCTTGTTAAAATATCTAGAGATAACGAAACCAATTAGGGGAGATCGCAAAAATCTGTTTATTTCCAATGTTAAACCACATAAACCGATAACAGCTCAAACTCTATCTCATTGGATTAAAGCTTTTTTGAAGAAAGCTGGAGTTGACACAGATATTTTTTCAGCTTATAGTACCAAACATGCTGCCGTTTCCAAGACCTTTAGCAAAGGTGTCGATATCGATACTATCAGACGCACAGCGGGATGGTCTAAGAAGTCAAATACTTTCAATAAATTCTATAATAGGCCAATTAATACTGATAAGGACACCTTTGCATTCTCCATTCTTAAGTGATATGAATATGATACATTGTTCCTTAAAAAAAAAAAAAAAAAAAGTTTAAATTAAAAAAAAAATTAAAACAAGCTCTGAATTTCTACATGTAATCATTGAGAACGAGACGTCGTAGTATAATTGAACGATCAAACGAGCCCGCCGAAGGCGGGCGAGGTTCGATCGTCATTATACGAAGACGTCTCGTTCGAAGATGATTACCTCCCACCCTTCTAAAACAAACAAACAAACATATTAGAAGTGACTCGATTTACCTAAATTTATTTTTCTATTCCCCCAATGTTACCCGTAATCATAAAATGAGAAGTCATTACTTAACAATTTCTGTGTTAATTTTTCCTTTTTTAGATAATGGTCTCTAAACACAATGAAGTAGGTAACCGCTACTCAAAGGAGTGGCGCTGAAAGCAGGAAATTCGAATTTTTAGTTCTCTAAACGTTGTGGACTTGGGCATAGCTGGCGCTACTACATGTAATCATCTTCGAACGAGACGTCTTCGTATAATGACGATCGAACCTCGCCCGCCTTCGGCGGGCTCGTTTGATCGTTCAATTATGGCTTCAACTATGGATTATTCTTTTCTGAGTTCGGGGACTTGTATTCAATGCATACTTTGTTGTTATAACAATGAATGATAATAATAGTAGTGGTAGATAATTTATCCTTCATACTTATTTATTGTAGTTAGATTAATTATGTAATAAAACATTTTTGAAACACTATTGCACTTTATTGATACATCAATATCTCGTAAATTTAATTTTATGTGATTTTATTTTTAATGTTCCGTGTCGTTGTTAGAGCGAAATTATTCCTTGTAGTAATTATTATTGGAATTGATACTAATTTAATTCCGTTGCGTATTTTACAATGTTTTTTTTATTATTTGTTTACCTTAGGTTACACAGCTTGAAAAATTTTTATTTTGACACATGTTGTAGAGAGTTCATTTCGAAATAATATACCGTTTGAATTTTGCAACGATCTCTCTTCGTTCTTGAGATATGTAATTTTGAAATTTCATACTTACTTATATAATCTTTTCGTAATTTTTCTATTCTAAATGTTTTTATTTTTTTGTTTACATTTACTAAGATCATCTGTCTGAATAATTTCAGAAACTTTCAGAAGATTTTAACTGCTTGTTATTTATTATTATAGTTCTTAACGAAAAAAATTTCATGAATAGAACATAATTTTACGATACTATGTACATTTAAGAAGAAATATATTTAATGGAATATATGTTTGTATGTAACTTTGCGTCATCTTGCAAAGTACACGCATAGACGCCGTGAGTTTCCCTAGGAGGGGAGCTCTATTTCCGGAAGATATAACCTAACCCAATGTGTCTGAAGGAAAATACCTGATATGGTGAGTTAGTTGGCTTGTTCTCTGTACATTATTTTTTTATCTTTTAATTTTTATAAAATTATTTTATTTCATATTATTTTACAATTTTTGTTCGCCATGTAATTGATGGCGAAGTTTTAGTAAAATTAATTTTTCCAAGTTTTTCTACTCTACTATTAAGAAGGTCAGTTTGTGTTCCTCAATTTTTCCTTGAGTGACAAGGAGTTCTTGGAGGAAAGAAACAGGGAGTCACAGGTTTCGGAGAATTTATTCGTTCCACAAAGTCAATAGGAATAAGTTTCCAAGGCAGGAATTGGATGACGGTTCTCCGGGAATTGATAGGCACTGAGGAAGATCTCGAAGGTTTAGGAGGTCTCGAAGATCTGGAAAATCTCGAAGGTCTAGGAAACTTCAGGATCTCAGGTTAGAAAATTAGCCGGGAAGCTAGAAGCTAATCCTTGACTGCTGCGAGGTGTCGATTCGGTTTTCGCTTCTTCTTATATAGTTTCTTCTGTTTTTCAGATGCGGGAATTGATCTTTAACTGTAGTGTCCTTTAGAGGCGTGAATAATAATTGTAATTAACGCCAACTTCAGTGCATCCTCCAGCTCACGCGCGGCGTGTTAAATGGTGGCGAGCGTTAGAGACATAGACTTCTATATAAAATACAACTAGACTGCGAGCTCCTGTCTGTGAGATGTACCCAACTTTTATGTATAAAACTAATGTATGCGTCAAATAAGCTGATATGGAATATTAGTTTCTGCTAGCATAAAGGTTAAGTTATAAAATATTTGTGGATGAATTGAATTAATGTGAAATAAATTTGATGTAAAATTACAAGCATAACAAACATAACATTACATAACATGTTATTACAATAACATTCTTCATAAGTTTATTTGATGCATGCGCAGTACAGTACTTTTAGTACATACTTTTTCGAGACATGAATATACGACTAGTATATAAGTAGTTCGCAATCTAATGTATTATATAGAATGTATTATATAGTAGTGGTTAGAGACGCTAAACCTGGCTTTGCAAAGAACGTTGCCTAAATGCTTAAATTTATCTGGAAAATGTGTTTATATTTTTTGTTTACATTTACTCTTTAAGTAAACGCGACTCCGCTCTTCCCTCTGCACCCGCAAAAAAAGGCTAACCGAATATAACCTGTGTACGACGTATAAAATATATCTCGCTTCACATGGTTCATATAGCTTTACATAAGTTTGCAACTTACGATGTCCACATATGTACTTTGCAAAACAGAGGAACTTATATGCAAAGATTTATTAAATATTTATGTAAAAAGTGCAATTTTTATATTTTATTAAATTATATTTATCTTATAGATCGTGTAGAGGATATAATTCTGCCATAATGTTAAAGGAATATTATATAAACACAGACTTCCGTTTGCGGCGCCACCGGAAGTGGAACGTGAGTGACACGTGCAGGAGTGACAGAGCGAAAATTGAAGAGGAGTGTGCGAGTTTGAGTAAAAGTACAGTGAGTGAGAGAGAACGAGTGTGTAAGTAAGCGCAAGTTAAGAGCGTGTTTGGGGCCGGGCTTAGGGTAGAGAAATCAACCTAAGGGCAACGATCGGGTAAGCACAGAAAAAGTGTAGTATAGAGGGGCGAAGCGAATAAGTGAAAGTGTCGCGGCAGCACGAGCACGGACATAGATTGAGATAGATATAGACGGGAAAAGATAGTAGATACGTTTAGGGCATAGAGTATTTAACAAGATAGTTAGTGACAAGAGAGAGATGGCAGAGGAGAAAGGAAAAACTGCAAAATTAATAGAGCTAAAGGGAAGGTAAGAGAAAAGAGGAAGCATAGGCAACGTGGATTTAATAAAAAGAAAGAAAGAGATGATGAAAAGAGGGGAGACAGAAGAACGGGTCTTTAGCACAAGCAAGAAAGTGCAAAGATCGCCACAGAAACGAGTTAAGGAGATAACAGCAGAGGAAAGAGTGATAGAAGAGATTAGAGATGATTTGAAGGGGGAGATAAGAGAATGGATAAAAGAGATGAAAGAAATAATGAGAGAACAGGAAAATATTAGACAAGAGTTAGAAGAGGTAAAGAGATATATGAGAGAAAGAGAAGAAAAATGGTTAAGTGAAAAGGAGGAAATGGAAAAGAGAATAACGGAATTAGAGAATAACGGAGAGAATGGTAGTAAAAGGGGGGGGAAGGGAGAGAAGAGGATGGAGAAAGAGAAACATAGAAAAAAAACTAAAGGAGGTAGAAAAGAAAATAGAATTAAAGGAGAGAGAAGAAAGAAGAAAAAAATGTGGTAATAAGAGAAATGAAAGGTGGAAAAAACAAAATGAAAAAAGAAATTAAAGAAGTACTAAAGGAGATAGGAGTACATGGATGTAAACTGAACGAAAATCGTAGAAGGAGGTAAAAATGGAGGAGTAAGAATGGCTATGATAGGTCTACAGGAACTGGATCAGAAGATAAAGATTATGAGAGAGAGAAGAAGATTAAGAGAGAGGAAGCTCAGAATAGACGATGATCTGACGTTGAAGGAGAAGAAAATGAGATGGAATCTGGAAGACAGTAAGAAGGGAGAGAGGAAAGAGAGTATGGGTAAATTACGGAAAGATACAAATAGAAGGAAAATGGTGGAAATGAGAAGAAGAAGAGATACTCAGAGATAACAAAGGAAAGGTGTGGAAAGAAGGGGAAAAAATAAGACCGGCCGGAGGGAGAAAGAGGGTGAGAGGAGGAGAAGAGAACGGAGGGAACAGTGAGGATAGAAGAGAGGACGAAGGAAAGAACCTAGGAAGAGAGAGGAGAAGTAGGGAGAATGAAAGGGGAAAGAGGAGAGCAAGTGAAGAGAAGAAGATCTGGAAGCCTTTTGGAATGTGGCTGGTACAATAAGTAAGGATAAATAGTTTTGGGAAGGGATAAAAAAATGAGATATTGTGATATTGACGAAAACATGGTTGGACGAGAAAGTATGAGAGAAAATGAAAGAAAAGATACCAAAGAAATATAGCTGGAAAGTGCAGACAGATACTAAACATAAGGTAGAAAAAATAAGAAAGAAAGGGCGAGTGGAGAGTTGCTATTAGGATTACGAAAAGAAATAGAAGAAATAAAAGAAGAGAGGAGGATGGAGGCAGAAGAGGGAAGAATGGAGTGCAAGATAAAAATAGGAGAAGAGAGATGGAGGATAATCAGAATATATGTAAATAACGATATAGATAGGAAGATGGAAGGTTTAAAAGATCGAATGAAAGAAGGAGAAAAGGGAATAAGGATTATGATAGGAGAAGATTTCAATGCAAGAACAGGAGAGAAGGGAGGGTGAGTAGAAGAGGATGGAGAAGAGATGGAAGGACGAGAAAGAAGATCAAAAGACAAGAAAATAAACAGAGAGGGTAGAAAGCTATTAGAGTATATAGAGGAAAGGGTGGATGATATTACATGGAAACGTGAGAGGAAACGAGGAAGGAGAATTTACATACACAGTAGGGAAGGTGAGACAGTTATAAGTTAGGTTAGGACAGTTATAGATTACGTATTGAAGAAGAGAAACCCAGAGCTAAAGTTGAAAGATTAAAAATAGAAGAAAGAGTGGACTCGGATCATCATCCACTAGTGGTATGCGTGAGAGGTAACAAC